AACGAATCAAATAAGTAAGGATGCTTTGCAACGAGGTTGATTTTCAACTTGTTCTGGTGGCTTTTGCATTCAAAAAATTTTCCTAGCAGCACGTTCCAATGGCAAGCATTTGATTACTACTTAATCATGGTTAAGCTATGTCCCATTTTGGTTTGACGTACTTAAATGTAGTCAGAAAGTACTTAATGATGCAGAAACTATAGAAACTTTTAATCCTATGAAGTAGTCTTCTGGTAATCGTGAATGCGCATAAATGTGCGAATATTGGCAAATAGTACCCACTGCAGAAGTTTATTTGGTTTAGGAAAGGCACAGTATTAACTAGTCAACTTTTTGAATTGGTAAGCATTCCGATAGTCAAGTGAAGATATCGATATCGATTCCTGAGTTAATTTAAGAGTCCAGTAATTTAAAAGGAATGTAATCAGAACAAATCACTGATTGACAATATATGTATGTATGTGTAATAAAATAACACATACGATGTCGTAAACCTTTGGTTTGACACAATTATTATTTTAGTTTAACTAAATTTGACTTTACAAACAGGTGGAAACCCTTTTCATAATATTTTCAAGCTAAAACCTTCTTAAACCTCTTTCGTCTGACTCCCATTTGGTGATACCTGTCTATTTCAATTACTTAATTCCTTTAATTCGAATGAAATTTGATATTATAAACAGGTGGCAACCCTCTACATGTAGTTAATACGCATTTCGATTGATACCCATCTCTTAATCATTCATTTACCTTATAAAAAAAATTTGAATCTAATTTTTTAACAATCTAAATTTTTTAACAGGTGGCAACTCTTAAAAAAAAAAACAAAGAACATTATATTTTCCAAAGGTCAGTCTTTTTAATCTGACACTTCATTTTTGAAACTAGAACGAATCGAAACTATTTTTATATATTTTTATACCCGAGCGCACTTGTGCACAAGGGTATATTAATTTTGTTCACATAACGGTTGTTTGTAACAGCCAAAACGAATCGAGATAGATGTAGACAAATGTATACATAAATGATCAGGATGAAAAAAGAAATCGATTAAGCCATGTCTGTCTGTCCGTCCGTCTGTCCGTCTGTCCGTCTGTCCGTCTGTCCGTNACTTCAAAATCGAAATTTAAGGACTCTAATTTACTCAAAATTGATACGCCCCGGCTTACCATGTAGCCGTAGCTTTCGGTAAGGCGAAAAACATATATTTAATACGTGCGCCGGGTATTTAATGTTCGGCTCTGCCCGAACTTAGACTTTCTTACTTGTTTTTTATTCATTCCATTAAAATTTAGCATTTTTTTTCAATTTTGTTTAAAAAAAATGTTTTTCCGTTTTTCGGGAACACCGCAGGGACACCCTGTGATTAATTTTATTCCAAAATTTTTATTCCTGTAATTCTCTACTATCTATATGGAAATAAAAAATTTATTTTTGAAATTTTTTTTCCGTGAAGAGCTTACGCATGTCTAGGCTCTTATTAAAATTCTTAGTATAAAATTTGTCGGCTTTAATGGCTTGCTGGCGGCATATAATTTATTTTTTAGGGAAATTTCTGTTTAATTATTTTTAGTGGATAAAATGTCTTTACAAAAATACCAAACACGTTCACATTGCAGATAACGAATTTTTCGATTTTTCCCCACCTAGGCGGCACTGTGCGCCAGTCCGCAACCCCTTTGGTTGGTCTCCTCAGAATTTATCATTCTACAGAGATGGTACCTTAGCTTGTAGTATTCTGCCAGCTGACCAATGAAATTCCTTGGCTCACACTAAGCAGTCACTTAGGCACCCTACGAAATGAAGTTAAAAATCTCTTGGATTGCCCTTCACCCTGTACCACATGCCAGTAGGTTACAGCCTGACTCTTATACATCCATTTAATCCTGCTATTAAAACAACCAGACAGTTCATTAAGTCTAGCAAAAAGCTCAGCGTCCAAGAATCAATGAACCAGTCAAGTAATTCTGTTAATGAATTCAGCAACAACTCCCATTTGGTTAATAACCAATTAGCATTAGACAACGAATGTGTCAGCAGCTAGCTAATAAAAATTGTAAATCAAGTCGTTAAGATTCACAAAAACAAGAAACAAGTGCAACAACAACAACAAAAAATATGGAAGGAATAACAAATTTATTATGTGTGCATTGTTGCGTAAAAATTAAGCTACTTGACAAAACTATCGCCAGACATAAGAAAAATACAGGCAGCAAAAACTGCCCAACGTTTCAAACCAAAAGCAGCAATGCAAAAAATAAGCAAAACAAAATAATAAAAATGAAAATGAAACTATGAAAGAAGACCAACACAGCTCCATTTTTGGCAGACAGTCTGCTGAGAAGACAACCAGACAAAAAAAAACAAAAAACAAAACGAAAGAGTAACAAAAAAACAACATTACAGCCAGACAAACAGCCACTCGCTTGCCCACCATAAGCTCGGACCGTACCGTACTGGAGGAGGAGCTCTGGCATAAGGACATAAAAGCAATTTAATCTATTTATGCCATAGGAAGCATTGCGCTCGTAAATGACACTTCTGCAGCTCAACATAAACGCACACACATATACATACATACAACTCGTTTATACTCGTTGACACATTTCGAAATTCGCTATCCCGTATAAGTTTTGTTTTTTTTGTTTTTGCTCTCAGCTTAATCTACGCTGCTATATTCCATGTGGATATGCGACTCACTGTCACTTAAAACGAGAAATCACCAGCGCTTTCACTCGTTGGTACTGCTATGCAACCCAAACGTTGAGTATGTATTGTATTTTTTTTTTTTTGTTGGAGCCACTGGTTATTGGAGGGGTGCGTGTTGAGAGCCGAGGGAGGGCGACTACTTAACCACAAATTTTGCTCGCGATAAATACTTATAATCAAAGTATGCATTCCCCCCCCCCCCCCCCCCCCCCCCCCCCCCCCCCCCCCCCCCCCCCCCCCCCCCCCCCCCCCCCCCCCCCCCCCCNTTATTAGCGAAATTATTTTTATGCTTTTCCGTCTAGGGACTGCAAAGCGCTTGAGATTGACTTGTTTGGGTGAATTGTTTTTGGCCGCAGGGCATTCAAACACTTTCCATTAATTTTTGTTGTTATATTTTGGATCAGCGTCGAATTGCCAATGGCAAAAAGCATAACCCATAAGCTATGTATACCATAAGTAGCAATAGACACTTTCATGCGCGACTGAATTTGCTTATTGCTTATTACATTAGACGCGCACGGGGGCGTATACGTGACGAAAAGTAGTGCGATGTTGGAAAGTGAAATAATATGTACTATGTACTGACGAAAGTGTGCATTCAGTGCAACAAGTAATCGGAAGTATTTTTTTTTTTATTTTTTATGTACTGGTCATAAACGTTTTTCCATTTACTACGGGTAGTACAGTGGTGTACGAAATAATAGGACTGCGATGTTTTAACCAGTTTCAACTATTTTTCTTTTGTTTATTTAATAGTTTAAATTTTTTATAAAAGTCTAGCTGGCTATACAACAAACGCCTTATAAATTAACATTGCAAACTTTGTACAAAAAATATATGTACAAATTCTGCAAATTTTCACCAAAATTTCAAATTTTTTTTGTAGCACATTTAATACTAGTATAATAAATGTAAGTTTTAAGTTTTGGGCTTTTTTTTCGCTGGCAGTATCTTCGATATGAAAGAAAATTGTCGAACATACTTTATGAACGTGAAACACCTTCAAACTAAAAAAATGCTCAAAAATCAAGGGAATTTTTTACCAACCTGAAACTTGCACTTCATTATACTAGAATTAAATGGGCTACAAAACTGCAAACCAAAATTGCTGCGAAGATTCTTATTAAAAGTTTTGAAAGTTTGCTGAAAAACCAAATAGCCTAAACGGATAAAAGTGCTAGGACTATAATATTAGCAAAGGAATTTTCTTTCAACAACACATTAGAATTTTACTAAGCGGAGAGAGGAAGTCTTCTTCTCCATGGCGGACCGGTAAAGGGCACACAGTGCTGAAAAGGGGTATTTTTTCTGACAAAATCTGGTATCACACTGTACAAAAGATTACCATTCCACTTCAATTGGCTAAGAAATTAATACAGCTTCCCATCAGCCAACGGAAAACTATATATGATGCCACAAAATTTCCTACTAGCGACTACGAATTCTTGCAAGGGAAGGTGTCAAGAAATATGGATCAATTCCTGTCTATAAAGAAGCTTGCGGTTTACTTGGCGCAGTTAGGTAACTTCTGCCTGCTTAATTGCTTCTGTTCTGTTTCGAGGCTATCTCGATTTCAATTTCGAGGCTAAAAAACTACAATGGTGCTGGAGGCAAGATATTCAAGTACATTGGCGGGGAGCTGATAAAATGTAAGCATTTTTATGCAGAATATAGGTAGTGGAACGATTGCATGCTCGTCGGTTAGAATTTAAGTGTGATCTACTCAATCCAGCCAAATGAGCTAAATATATAAAAGGTCTTGTTGAGCGTGTTGTGTGTATGAAAGGCTTAAGTCCAGCGTCAAAGAACTGTTTGAGTTATAGCAGAGTGGTTTAAGACCATACTCCAGGTATTCACCAAAAGCCAAATCGGCACACAGCATCTCTTCGTCGAGTGTGAAACTACATTCGACGAACTTGAAATTTTTAAGTGCAAAAATCTAGATTGTAAACATTGCCCAAATTACTAAACTGAAAATATTTTCTTTTTGCACACACTCTGCAAAGCTAAGCATAAGTGAAATTTCTTCTAGCGAAAAATATGCAATACAAATATTTTGCTTGTTAAGTGCGCCAAATATGTTAAGGATGTGTGTGTGTGTGTGTATCGCATATCGCATCTCCTTTAACTTCCTTACATTATTATTTTTTCTTGTTTGGATGCGAGAAATATTTGCTCATAACACATACATACATACCTATGTACATATATTTGCGGCATAAAATTCAACGGCATTAAAGAATTTAGGGAAAATTTAAATTTACATATAGACTACATATTTACTTACATACCTTCAGTTATTTCGATTGGCTTTTTGTATGCATACAATGTGCGGAAGAGATTGATTGGATTACAATCAGATGTCTGCAAAAAAAAAAAGAGAAAAATTTTATTTAAGTTATATTTATATATATGTAGGCAAATACATGAATATGTATGTACATTAGGGTGGTTTTTAAATGTTGGAAGCAAATTTTTACATCAGATTTCCTAAGCCTAAACCCCTACGTCGATGCTGCTATAATCGAAGATATCACATATAAATTTTGGCCGTGACTGGAGTCGGTTAAGGCGTGTCGCACAGGGATCAGACTTCAGATTACCCCATGAAAACGTCTTAAACGACTCCAACCGAGACCAAAATGTATATGTGATATCTTCGACTTTAGGAGTATCGAATTTGGGTATTAAACGCGATATCTGTGGTCGTGGTATTACCGATTGTGGGGGTGAGACTGGTAAAATTTGTTCATTTAATTTTTTAAGGACCACCCTAATGTACACATGAGATAAAATTTAAAATATGTAGTTATTTGTAGCATGTAATTGGATTTTAATGAGATTTAAAGCGCACACCTACACACATACATGCGTACATACATGTCGAAGTCATTAAATTTTACTATCCTTTAGCCTGAAAACTTTATTAAGATTAATTTTGAAATGAGTTAAGCTGAAAGGTTGCATAATTTATAGCATATTGTGCATTTTTACTTTGAGTGTATAATTAGGATGTGAAATAATTCCGGAGAAAACAGTGTGGTATTCATCGTAAGTCTACAATGCGCAAATGTTTAAACACCTTTTATTTTTTAAATTTTGTTGTCTTTATATTTATGGCCAAAAACGAATAGACCAAATTTTGGTAGCTTCAACTGGCGTTAGGTGCATTCCGGACAAGGCATTTTGCATTCATCGAAACACGTGGTAGAAAATGAACTTTTTTTGTGACAAAATCTAATGTTTCGAGAAATGACAAAAACTGGCGAAATTTAACATTTATCCTTTAAAAGTATTTTTAAACTTTTGAGAGAGAGAGTTTAGGATGAAAATTATCGTTGAATACAAAAATTCCTTTGATTTCCCGTTTTAACTCGAAATCAGTATGATGAAATTAAAACAAAAAATGAACATAAATTTTGGCTGACATTTTAATTTTTTTTAGTTATTACATGCTGTATTCATGTAAAAAAAAAATCAAAAACTCTAAAAAGGTAAAATTATTCTTATATTCAAAGAGACCTTCAAAAATAGCATGTAATGCACATAAAGAAATTTTTAAATGTTTTTTTTTTTGGCTCTTGTGACCATGGAAATGGAAGTTTTTTTTTAATTTCTTATATTTTTTTTGTATTATGGCGCGGGCCCCTAAGCTAGCGCCTATGTAGCCTATGCTTGAATCCGGTCCTGAACTACCATCGCTCCGGCACTCTTGAAGTCCAGAAACCAGAAAACCGCACTAGGTTAGATTAGGTAAAATGAGGTACAATGATTAGATTAAATTAGGCTAAATTTTGGTTTGGCTTGATTTCAGTTGGATTTGATTTAGGTTTTGGTTTGCTCTGGTTTAGTTTTGAGTGAAAGTTTGGATTTAGGTTTTATTTGGTTTCGTTTTCGTTTAGTTTCTTTTGCGCTGGTTTAGTTTGGTTTGCATTGATGTTGTTTGGTTAGAATCAGGGACCGTAACAGTTACAACTTTTATTAAAAAAAATTGCTCTTTAACAATTATTTTTTTATTTTTATTAAATTACTCCTTAAATAACCGTTATTTCTGACTTTTATTTTATAAATCCAAAATAACAATTAGTATTGATTTTTATCTAATAATCTGCAAATAACAGTTATTTTTGATTTTTAAATTATATGCCTTAGATAACAGTTATCGAAGACTTTTATTTATAAAAGTCATAAATAAAAATCAGTCACTGATCTTTATTTTTTAAATCATACTTATAAAAGTCATTTGTATAAGGCGTGGTAAACTTTTGTTTCACAACACCTTCTTAACTTCGAAAAACGTTAATGACTTTTGAACGAATGATCTAAAAAATTAAAGTCGGTGACTGATTTTTATTGATGACTTTTAAAAGTAAAAGTCACTGACTGATTTTTATTGATGACTTTAAAAAGTAAAAGTCACTGACTGATGTTTATGGATGACTTTTATAAATAAAAGTCTTCAATAACTGTTATCTGAGGCATATAATATAAAAACCAAAAATTATTGATATTTTAGATTTATTTAGATAAAAATCAAAAATAATTGTTTTTTTTAATTTTGCATAAAAATTTATTTTAAAATTTGAGTATCGGTGAAAAAAGAAATCGATTGATATGTATTACTTAGTAGTAGAACATTTCTTCCATAGTAAATTTTTCCATGACAGTTTTCTTAATTAACTGTTATGTTCGGTCCCTGGTTAGAATACATAGAATAAGTAATATCGTAATTGGCAGTGTTTACAATAAAGCGGTTATTTTTCTTACACAATTATGGTCCCGATTGGGTACAAATTAGTAACGGGTGATTTTTTAAGAGCTTGATAACTTTTTTTTTAAAAAAAACGCATAAAATTTGCAAAATCTCATCGGTTCTTTATTTGAAACGTTAGATTGGTCCATGACATTTACTTTTTGAAGATAATTTCATTTAAATGTTGACCGCGGCTGCGTCTTAGGTGGTCCATTCGGAAAGTCCAATTTTGGGCAACTTTTTCGAGCATTTCGGCCGGAATAGCCCGAATTTCTTCGGAAATGTTGTCTTCCAAAGCTGGAATAGTTGCTGGCTTATTTCTGTAGACTTTAGACTTGACGTAGCCCCACAAAAAATAGTCTAAAGGCGTCAAATCGCATGATCTTGGTGGCCAACTTACCGGTCCATTTCTTGAGATGAATTGTTCTCCGAAGTTTTCCCTCAAAATGGCCATAGAATCGCGAGCNCCTTTTCATTTTAAAAAAAGGTCGCATAAATTTATTTGTCTTCCTTAGGTAGGTGGTGTTTGAGAATACATCTTCGAAAAAGATTCCCAAGACTTTTGAGTTATTCTACTCAGCTCTTTACACTGAAAAGCGGTGACGCCAGAAAAAGCAGACTTTGTTTTCTAAAACAGATAAATTTACGAGGAACTAAAAAAAGGCTTTAAAATAATATGCTTACTGTGTGTTTAATTAAAGAACTCAAGCTGATTCTCCTAAGTATTAAAAACCCTAAGCTCTCTTAGCTAATTAAGTGAATCCTAAATATTCTTTACTACTTCGTGCATTTTGATGTCTTCATAAATGAGACAATTAACTTTCTTGCTTAATTAAAGACAAACTGCATCAAGGCTAGACAATAGGACATGAGCAACATTACGAACTGGCAATTAATTGGTGCCCTAGCCATGCAACGGACTAAGAAATACAAAGCAACACAGATGAAAAGGAACATAGCGGGAAGAAATAGTAAAGCAAATAAAGTGGCGCGACTAGAACTAAATTTAGTTTGAAGTGTAGTCATGAAAAATTATGGCAAAGAATTCAGCGCATGCCAAGAGTCAACAGATCACAATCACTAATAGGCGATGAGATGGAGAAAAATTTAGATTAGATTGGATGGCCAGGCAGTTGAGACAAACAAACAGGCAGGCAGAGACAGGCATGGATAAAGATGGAAAATCAAGCATTCAACCTTACAGCTGCCAAGACTATGCGAGTCGCCAAACGGGTGACAAATGTTAGTTTAACAACGCTACGTCTGGCGAGCGACACACAGATCGCCGTACGCACGCACCCACCCACCCACATATTTACTCCAGCCTCGTAAACTAGCGTTGTTGCTGACACTACATAGCTGACGCACGCATGTATGTAGTTATACAAAAAAATTTACGCACCGAGTGCGCGAATGCATTTCAATTCATGGACGGACATGCGTACGAACGAACAATGCAACAGATGGGCAAGCGGCACTCTGCGCTGGGAAACTGGCGCCCAGACCTACATACATACATACATACGTACAACGCGGCAGATATAAACAGACGAGAGATATGTTGAGCTGCTTTGAAAAGCTGGGAATTAATTTAAAAAGTTTGTCAACTACAGCAGTAAGCTCGGGTGGCAAGCAGAAATCGCAATGGACTTGCGCGAAAAGAATAATTTATTGAATTAAGTAGAATTCAGAACAAAGGCACTAAATAAAAGTTGCAGGCTTGAAAAAAGTGTGTATATTTCGAGCCGGAATGCGCCAAATGGAGTGTGAAAGACGTTAAGAATTTCAAGAATGATGTCGTTTTCAATTAAGCGAGCTGAGAAAGAAAGGTCACTTTTAGATGCCGTTGAAAAGGCTGTAAGAAAAAAAAAAAGTGGAAAAGTCAAGTTACGAATTTTGCGTATAAGATATGGGAGTAATTCTTCACTGAGAAGTTGCTCGGGACTAGGAGTATGAGAGTAGACGGTTAAACTGATATTTATGACTTTGAAAGTGGACAGATGTATCTACAGTGTTTAAAATCCCATTAGAAAGCTTAAAAGAGTTTGCTGCACTGAAGATTAAAGATAAAAGAAAGTGATTTGTCGACATCAAATAGTGAAAAAATGGTGCGCTACTGCCGGAAATCTCGCTCGTTTCAATTTATGGTAGTTTCGATTGGAAATATATGTAGTCCAAAAGAAGAACTCTGGAGCTGTGGAAGACTTTTGGGATCGAGCATCAACACCACCAACAGTAGGGTTGGTTCGACTCGTTAGGCAATTGAAAAACCGAGCCCTCTCTCTCATCAAGTCCATGATTCTACTGACACTGCTCTTTACCAGGTTCGGGATAGCTTGGAAAAGGGACACAGTCATATGGGCTTTTCTAGATATCAATGACGTATTTTATATTACCTAAAAGAAACAGGTTGCTGATTAGCAGATGAGTAAACAATTGGTCTCTATCTAAAACGACGAACGGCTGTACAGCCAAATAAGAAGAAGAAACAGTATAAACGGGGTTAGCCCGAACAAGGAGCAAGCGGAGTTGTTGACGGACTTACGCGGATGGCAGCATAGGGCAGGCTGAAAAGTGTTCCATAGGTGGGCAATTCACCCTAATGATAAAC